CTTGACTGGGACATTATGCTGTACACCAGAAACTGATGCATTGTAACTGACTATCAACCCAATATTCATAGCATCATTATTTACAATAGTCAAGGTATGGAAGGAACCTAAGTCACTGACAGATGAATGGATAAATCATACTATAGTTGTATTTCTCAGTTTGACTTATTTCACTAAACATAATGCACTTTAAATCCAAATGTGTTGCTGCAAATGGCAGAATTTCATTCTTTTTAAATAACTGTATTATAATAATGTATAATAATGTATAACTGTATTATAATAAATAAATGTAATATTACATTGTGTATAATTATCACTATTTATTTATTCACTCACCTGTATAGATACCTAGTTTGCATCCATACCTTGGCTATTTTAAATAATGCTTCTGTGAACATTGTGGTGCATGTATTTTTTTTAGTGTTTTCTTTTTTTTTTTTTCAGTTATGTACCCAGGAATGGAATTGCTGGATCATATGGTATTTCTACTTCTAGTTTTTTAAAGGAACCTCCATACAGTTTCCATTGTGGCTGCGCCAATTTAATATCCCACCAACACTGTACTTGCATTCTCATTTCTCCACATACTCACAAATAGTTGTTATTTGCTGTCCTTTTGATAACCATTGTGATCGGTATGAGGTGATAGCTCATTGCAGCTTTGACTTGCATGTCTCTGACGATTAGCAATGTTGAGCACATTTTCATGAGCCCTTTGGATATCTGTGTACCTTCTTTGGAAAAATGTCTATTGAATCTTCTGTCCTTTTTTTATTTGGATTCTTTGTTTTATTGATAATGAGATGTACGAGCTGTCTTTAAATTTTGATATAACCCCTTATTGGTCATATCATTAGCAAATGTTTTCTCCCATTCAGGAGTTTGGTTTCTCAGTTTGTTGATAGTTTTCTTTGTTGGGCAAGTGCTTTTAAGTTTAATTAGGTCCCATTTGTTTAGTTTTGTTTTTCTTCCTTTTGCCTTAGGAGACAGATCCAAAAATCTATTGCCATGGGTTATATCAAGAAGTGTCCTAACTATGCTCTCTTTTAGGAATTTCACTGTTTCAGGACTTACATTTAGGTCTTGAATTTCTTTTGAGTTTACTTTTCTACATGGTGTGAGGAAATGTTCAGTTGTCATTCTCTTGCATGTAGCTGTCCAGTTATCCCAGCACGAAGTATTGAAGAGATTCCAGGACACCTTTGGCATTTTACTGAGGAGAGGATCTGGAACGGGGAGCAACTTAGAGATACCGCATTCTTTTCAGCAGAGGGCTTCATTTCTGGGGCCAGGAGTCTCTGTTATAAAGTGAATGCCCCTTGATGTGCAGATGTTTCTCTGTGGTATACGGAAACTCAGGGCTTCCAATTCTTATATCTGGGTGTTTCATCCTTAACTGGAGGATTGGGCATTCTAGTAAATTAGAAGCCATCATTGTCCCTGCAGAGTCATTTGTCAATAATCAAGGGTACAGATTTTGCTAATGAGTCAGAATGCCAGTCATTGTAGCAATGGGGTGACAGGAAGGCAGAGGTCAAAGGGAAACTTTAGACGATCAACTCCCTTCAGTTTCTATGGATGAATGGTCAGATATGGATGTGTACATACACACACAGACACAGAAACTGGAAAAGTTGTCCTTGCAAACCCTCATAACCTCAAAGGTCATTCAAAGATGAGGAAGCTGAGAATTCTTGGAAACAAGCAGGGATGAGAGTAGATTCTACTTGAACAAACAATTCACTTTTTTCTTTTCTTTTTTTTGAATTCTAATTTTTGGTTGGGGAAAAAATTCCAAAAGACAGAGGGATCCCACAAAGCTCTGGATGAACATATATTACAGAAATAATTCCTCTCTTAACTCACTGAGGGAAGATAACAGGTTTTTCCTCTTCTCTTCTTTCCTAAGAACTTTTATGTCATTGAAAAAGTTAGTGTGACTAGGGCACACAAAACAGTTACCTACATCAGTTAACATATCCCACAATTACACTCCTATTAATGTATCACTGTGAATAACAGCTTTTTAGCTGGGCAAATAGAGCCCAGACTAAAATTCAATTTCAATAAAATTGATTATAAGCAGACCATTTTTTAAAATGTAAGATAAGGCAAATTACAGAAAAATTTATTTGAAATAAAAAATAGTAATTCATTGTTCAATTTATTCAGTTTCTTAAAACATAGCAATGGTAATAATGTTGAATACAAACTAGTATATATTCTAAAAATGATTTATCTTGGTCACAGGAAGAAGGAGACAAAAAATAAATACATATCATATTGGACCACCACTTATATCCTAGAAATTACAGAAGTTATTGCAAACAGTGTACTGTTTAATATTCACAATATTGATCAGGTAAATTTTTAAAAATGAGAAACAATTCCATAGAATTTAATTTACTTGTAAAGAACCAGTGTGTAGCAACACCAGAATTATAATAAAATTCTAATTGTGGTCACACACACACACAGTTTTCCATGGCAGGGAGAGCTGGAGTAGTCTTGTCAGCAGCACAGAGGCATCAAGAATCTGGAAAATGAGACGACAGTAAAAACAACCCTTGTGCCCCTGAAGGCACAAACCAGTTTAATGAGACACTGACACGGGTTCTATTTCTCAGTAATGAACAAATCTAATATTTATTGTTACGTTGAGAAGAATACATGCTTTATACTTAATAACATTTATCTACTCAGAATGATCTTATATATGGTGGTTTTCATGTCAAGATCATTTTAAGAAAATGAACAGAGTGTTCTAGTATTTTATTAAGGTTTCATTGTTCACATGCAGAGAGACAGGGCTTGAAGTCACATACTCTGGATACAAAATTCCCACTCTTAGTACATATTATTTGTGCTATTTTCTCCTTAATTCCTTGAGGATTAAGGGACAATATAGGTAAACTGAGACACCACTCAGGATCACACTTTAGTAAATGACAAGTAAATACAAGGGCTTTGATAATATATGAAGTTTTTAAGAAGCATCCCTTCCTCTTCTTGGTCAGTGCC